TAACCTGGCCCTGTTGTTGGTTCATACTCAGTTTATTGAACTGAGTCATCATCTGATGCTGGAACGAAGCTAACTGCGCCGCCAAGGAATTCATACCATCAACCTCTATCAACACTAATCTCTTTCCTGCCCCTCTCGATGACTCGTTGTGCCACTCTGGATATCCTTGAGCAATTCTATTCAACAAAGTGTACAGCTCATCATAAGTCTTCTCCAAGGCTTGCCCACCCGATGCAGAGTCTAGTAATATTTTCGTGTGTGGGTCTATACTTTCTACAAAGGTATGATCAGCACTTCATTTGATTGCTGGTGATGGGGACAGTCTCTCAATAATGACTTGAATCTTTCCCAAGCCAAGTATAAATTCTCATTAGGCTTCTGCTTGAAACTCAGTATTTCACTTCTCAACTTGCAGTCTTGCCTGAAGGAAAGAATCTGATAAGGAACTTCTTAGCCAAATCAATCCACGAAGTTATGGAGTTCGGTGGCTAAGCATTCAACCACTTTTTCTCCTCTCCCAACAATGAAAATGGGAAGAGGGTAAGTCAGACATAATCTGTGGACACGCCGGTGGGGATAAACGTGTCACTAATCTCTAGAAAGTTCTGTAAGTGCTGTTGCGGGTCCTCATGTGCCATCCCAGTGAATTGACCACTAGAATGTAACTGCTGCACCATGTTCTGTTTAAGCTCAAAGTTCCTTCCAGGCTCGGTTTCGGATACTAGAGTTCACATTAGTTGCTTGTGGGACCTTCGCGGAGCAGGGTCTCAACTGTATTGCTTCCGATGATAATTGTGCTTGTCCTGCAGGTGGTCATTGTAGTATAGTGGTAGGAAATATTCCCGCCTGTCACCCGGGTGACTCGGGTTCGATCCCTAACAATGGCGCCAAAAACTTGTTGCGCCCCGCAAGTGTACGGGTATTACAAGTAATATAGTGGCCCTTTCCAAGAACTTGAATGTCCAACCCACAGGGACTGGACAGATTCTGCTAACTATCTAATTCAAGTGTGATATTAACTTTCACAAATTGTTGATTATAAAGTTTTCGAGAAAGTTAGTTAAGTCTAATTTTGGTCAAAAATATTGGAATTCACTCAAGGAGCAACATAGAGTTAAAGCTGGGATAATCATCCACTACTACAAATTGCAAAGGTTTAAGTATGAAACTATCAATTGTCATCTCACATAATTAGAATTGCATGTTCATGGCCTTTCGAACCTCTAAACACGACAAACTAGCCTCACTACTCCATTGAGAGCGAGGATGCTAATTCTAGTTCGTGGGCAATTAGTGCGTGGATGTGGTTTACGTGGATATGATCAGGGACTCTCGCACTCTAATCATTCGACTCAACTTAGCTTCACAACTACTTTATGAGCGGTGATGTGATAATTGTAAGTTGGTTTCTAGCTCATCCCATTTTATCAACCAAGCAAGGTGTTAGGTATATTTCTATCCTAACACAAATTATATCGTGAGATACAACCATGCTCCCTACATTCTCATGTTCTGGCCTAGGTAAATGCTCTCTCAAGCATATGCCTAAGTTAACGTGTATGTTTTCATGGTGATCAATCATTAAAAAAACCATAATTCAAGATTGCAAGACAAAACAACAATCAATAACTTAATTCCAACACAATTTCATAAAAAGCGATTCATAACTCATGGCTTCAACCTAGAGGAAGGGTTCTAGCCACGCATGTTCAATATAACTACAAGGAAACGTTGTTAAAGTAACATACATACAAGAATTGGTAGAAGGAAGGGAATTTGACAAACGCTAGCTGAGTTCTCCCACTTCCTTCACTCTGGAGTGGTTTTCTAGAATAAAATCATGACCAAATGATTTTAGGAGCTAAGGGACCTATTTATAGTAAATAAGAATCGTGCAAAATTAAGCATGTCGTGGAATGGCTCCGTGTCTGGGTGCATCACGGAACACTGCCTGCGTGACGTGGAGGTAACGTGGAGCGCAGGTACCGAGGATGCCAAGGCGTCGAGGGTGGCGCTCGGCGGCATGACCTGTGTTGCTCATGCGGCAACGATGGCATCTTCTTGGTGCGCAGGTTGCCAGGCGTGGAATGGCGCTGGCACGCGGAACGCGCCCTGCCTGCTTGTTTCGCCTATTGCACCTGGCATGGGCGTGGCGCGGCGCTGGGCGCGACACACCCACGGTGTGGCACTTATTTGCACATGGCGCGGCCAGCCTTACTAAGGCATGCTCCTTACCGACTTTACCAAATTGCTCGATTCCATTCCTCTATATAACTTATAAATTAGTTCCTCAAATTCATTTAAACCTACAAAAAAAAGAACTAATCATGTTGGATTTAGTAAATATATTCACATTTATATAAAATCACATGAAAATGTATATAATAAATTAGCTAAACAAGACCTTAGTTATAAAGCATCACTTGGGCATGCTATTCTACTCGAGATCATTGTCCACAACAAAAATAGCCCTCTCGGCCCTGAAGACACCTCTCTAGGTGGTTCTTGCCGCACTTAGGGCAAGTTGGATATCTGTTCTCGGCACTATATCTGCGGGAGCGGGAGTCCGAGATGCTCAGCCCCTCCGTCCTAACGGGATCGAAGGTCGCGACGCAGGCTAGGTGTTGGGACTCTCTGGCTGCTGCATGTTGTTATTGAGGCGGCTACTATCGCACGACCTCTAATGGCCATGTCGACTGGCCAGTCCTTGCTTTCGTTGTCTTTCTCCATGTCCTTCAATTTTCAATATGTCTGGCAGGCATAGACGATCGAAGTGGAGGGTTCCATATATTCAATCAACATTGCTATCCTACCTCCTTGAGGACTAGGTTCGACACCCCCATTCACAAACTTCAGCATGCGAGCTCTTGGCTCCGCTACCATCTCTAGGGCATACTTAGACAGCCTAGTAAACTCTAGAGCATACTCCTCCATGGATTTACATTTGCCCTGTCTCGAGTTCATAAACTCGGCCATTTTTGCCTCCCTCGGCTCTCGAGGGGGAAAAATCTGTCTAAGAAAAGCTGTGTGGAATTCCTCCACTCTACCAGTCACTGCTCTGCTGACACCCCTCTTCCCTTTGTTCATACCAAGCCTGAGCTACCCCTTTTAGGCAGTGGCCCGACCCGGTCGGCCTCTCTAAGGATCTAACACCACTGTCATAGTGTCTTCTTGATCTCATCCACAAACTCTTGTTGGTCCTCTCCCACCATGGATCCCCTGAATTGATGGAGGGTTCACATGCGGGTGAGAATCTCACACCCTAGTAGCTGTTGCGGATCCATTGTTGTTAGCTGGCACTACTTGTTGGGTCCCCGATTGGTGACTATTTGGCTTATTTGGATAGCCGCCTAAATTCCTTGATTGACCTTTGTGTCATCTTAAGGGCTACTGGGGCTGGTGGGGCAGGTCTGTTGGCATTACTGGCCCTTCTTCTGTTACCGCATCTGAGAGGCATGATTCACTGAATGAAACAGAGCATGAGTTAAGAAGGACATCTACGGGATTTAACTTCCCAACGCCTGATAAAGTGTATGAACAAAAAGTTTCCTGATAACATCTCGTGGACTCCCTCGTCATAAGTGTGGCGCGCTTCACACCATGAAGGACTTTCTACTCGATACGTCTTTCAGACATTCCAAGGATACTCTAAACCGTGCTCTGATACCAAGTTTGTCACGGCCAAAGTCTACACCCTAGATGGAACACGATACTTGGAGTTACAAGTAACCCCATCCGATAACACGAGATTGCTGAAGTATGAAACAGACATTGTCAATAAAGAACACATCTAGAGGTTGGGGGTCGAACCCGGGGAATAGCAGGAACATCTAGACTAACATCGTCAAGTGAACTTGTTGGTTAAATACTCCAATTTGGGGGTTTCAGAAACTAATAATTAAAACAATGATTGAAATTGTGATGTAAAATCAAGAGTTATGAATAACTAGGGTTTTTGTTCTCCATGGGTCCATAACTGTTTCAGGTACAGAAACATGATCAATACTAATGCTTACTTGTAGAATTAATAACTAGGGTTTATCCATACGGCTAGTTCGCCCCTATTGGAGTATTATACTCAATCATCGGGTCAAGTCACATGGCCGTTTCAATTTAACCATTATCAATTAGTCACAAAATTAACTATCTTGCGACCACATCTAAAGTTAATACAATAATTATCAAGATCAAAACTTTGTTGTAATTCTCTTTTCCTAATCTCTCTACCTCTCTAGGCTCAGCCAGTAAAGGGTAGACAAATCCTAGTTTGTATACCATTAAGAAATGTTTAAGCATGAAGATAATACAATACAAGCATTTTGCATTGGTGTTGAATCTTTTGTGTATGCCCCTAGCTCATTAATCCACCGTGGTTCCCACAGCCCTAGTTATGGAGGTTTTAGTCTCTCATAGTTGCAAAGCGCGATATGCATTCATAATTAAAAACATAATTCAATACTACAATTGTAGATGAGAGAAAAAGGTTCTTTGATTATCTGAAATAACTCAAGAACAATTCACAAGATCAAGAAAGAACTCAAGAAAAGGTTGATCTAAGTCAATCAACTCAATTCTATGTTTTTCCCTCGATGCAGTATGATTCTCTAGATGTTCTCTACTAAATAATAAAAAATAAGGTATTTATACATATATAAGAATCCTTTTCTTAAGCTAACAGGACAAATTTCCATAACTGGTGCTACTTGAGCCACGACAGATCCTACGACCGGTAGCAGGATTGTACGGGTTGTACCTGCTATCGTAAGTCCTTGGCTTGCTGAAATTTGGCTAAGTGTTGGGCCTTGGTAAGACTCATACATGCTTCCTACAATTCATACTTGTACTTCCCAGTGGCTTGACTTGGAACTCACCGGGTACCGATGTTTGTCACAGCGTGATAGTACGACTCGTACCTTACCTCCACGACTTGTACTGTCTATCCCGTGTCAAGTCTGCCTCTTGTGCAATTCTTCGGAATATTTCCATGACTAGGTGTTACGGCTCGTACCAATGTTGTGCGACTCATACCTCGAGTCGTAGGTTGCACTCTTTCCAATTCAGCCATATGAAACTTTTCATGGTTCTCAATACGACTATCTGCATCATCCTATGGCTCGTACTGAGGCGCGAGCTTTGTATTTTCTGCACTTTCGGGATTCTTTTGCACATTCTAGCTCCAACATATTTGTCTGTAATCAAAGAAAAGTTTCTTATATCCATATAAACACACCTAAGGCCATGCTATTTCTAAGTTTTTTTGAGCTTCAAAGTGTTGTAAACTCACACCACATCATGCCTTACTTATACTATGATGCCTTGTTGTTTGATGAATTTAATTGCCGAAGAATTAACATTTCCAATTGTAATTATTGGTGAGCGTGTTCTATATGTTGTTCTTGGGTTGATCATGGCGTGGAAATTTTTCATTAAATGGGGAATAGAAGGAATGGTTGTGCTATGAATAAAAGTTGGGAAATCGATATTTAATCGAGTGTAGTTTGATACAAATTTTGGAAAATATTAGGCCATATATAATTGTGAAGTATTGAGAAATAAAGGTTGTCGTAAGTTAAACTCACGCCTAGGCTGATGCGCTCTTGCAATTAAATTTCCACTGCGGCAAAACCGTTTTAGTGATCAAGTTATGCTGCTGCGAGGCCTAAATAATACATAGGTCAGTCAGCCTTATGGCTCATATTGGTTAAAGAAACACGGGTGTGTTCTTAAATGATATGGATAGATAGAACATATGATTGGATTGATAAATATATTGAGTTGTTGTTTAAAGCATTGAATTTATTGCATATTAATTTTATACTGTGTTGCATGAACTAATTTTATTCGACCGATAATGCATACCAATACGTGTGACATACTGATACTTTCT